CACAACACAGTCCAAAATGGACTACCTGTGTCACTGGTACTAGATCCACTGCTGATCATGTCACTCCCAAAAGATCCACTCCTTCCAAATCCATTCACAACTGATGTCCCAGAACCAAATCCCAAATTTCCAGATGGATCTCCCAAAATATTTTCCCCAGTTCTTTCACTGATACCACCTGCAGAATATAATATGATTTTTCACAGAATGTATGTCAATTAAAGTAGGATTCAGAACTATTCCATGCACAGAGATTAAATATCACTGAAATCATCAGAAGTACATTGGCTAGTACATTTTATTCCCTTTTGCCTAAAGCCAATGTCATCAATTTGATCTTCACTAGAAGATCCAAAACCGAATTTACCTTTCTCCTTCCTTTCTCCTGATCCAAACTGGCTCCTCCCTTCCTTTTTCCAGATCCAAAACCTAAAGACCATTTCTTTCCCACTAGCAGAGAAGTAAAATGTTATTAAAATAATTGAGAAAGATAGAAATCAATTTAGATTTCACCACAACACAGTCCAAAATGGACTACCTGTGTCACTGGTACTAGCTCCACTTCTGATCACGTCACTCCCAAAAGATCCACTCCTTCCAAATCCATTTACAATTGATGTCCCAGAACCAAATCCCAAATTTTCAGATGGATCTCCCAAAATATTTTCCCCCATTCTTACACTGGTACCACCTGCAGAATATAAAATGTTTTTTTAACAGAACGTATGTCAATAAATGTAAGATTCAGAACTATTCCATGCACAGGGATTAATATCACTAAAATCATCAGAACTATATTGTCTAGTGCACTTTATGCCCTCTTGGCTATAGCCAATGTCATCAATTTGAGCTTCATCAGAATATCCAAGAACAAATTTACCTTTCTCCTTCCTTTCTCCAGATCCAAACTGGCTCCTCCCTTCCTTTTTCCAGATCCAAAACCTAAAGACCATTTCTTTCCCACTAGCGGAGAACTAAAATGTTATTAAAATAATTGACAAAGATAGAAATCAATTTAGATTTCACCACAACACAGTCCAAAATGGACTACCTGTGTCACTGGTACTAGATCCACTGCTGATCAAGTCACTCCCAAAAGATCCACTCCTTCCAAATCCATTTACAACAGATGTCCCAGAACCAAATCCCAAATTTCCAGATGGATCTCCCAAAATATTTTCCCCAGTTCTTTCACTGATACCACCTGCAGAACATAACATGATTATTAGCAGAGTGTATGTCAATCAATGTAAGACTCAGAACTATTCCATGCAAAGAGATGAAATATCACTGAAATCATCAGAACTGTATTGTCTAGTACACTTTATTCCCTTTTGGCGAAAGCCAATGTCATGAATTTGATCTTCACCACAATATCCAAAAACAAATTTAGCTTTATCCTTCCTTTCTCCCTAGCGAATGCTACTTTCGCCTTCTTTTTTTTTTTTGTTTTTAGGATTTGGGTG